AGGAGAACTTACATGGGCCAATAGTTTCCATTACATTTATCTCATCTCCTGTCTTTTGCAGCTAACCTAAATGAGTGCCACACGAGCAGATACCATGTGGTCTGAACTACATTTGCCTCAGCGGTAGTTTGAGAAAAACAAAACTTGAATTCTAGAAGTTTTCCTGAAACACGCCTTTTTCACAAATAACAAAAGTAGCTCAAGCAAAACTTTTTACAATAGTTGATGGCAAATAAATACTTCATGAAAACTCTCAGACCTGTTCTTAAATCTTCACTGCAGCCCTGGTGTGCCACGAGAGCAACCTAGAGCCAGCCAAAAGCGCGGAGCAAAGGATTTCCCCAGTGTGAGCAAATCGGTGGCTGACAGAACGCTGGCAGACCCTCTCTTACCTCCGCCACATTTCCTCCCACACCTGCCTGCACTATTGCCTTTACAGTGAGGAACACTGGCCAAGGCGCCCTTCTCAATGGTGATGATGGAAATCGTGTTGTTATCCTGACTTATATCAGGTGTGGGTTTCCGTGGAGGTACCCTTGGGTCTCTGTCTTGGTTTTACCAAGCGTGAATGTGAGCTTGGCACAACTTGTGAGCTTGGCACAACTTGTGATCTTAAAAGAAGTCAACATGCAAAATGCCTCCTGTCAACGCCCAAGTCCCTCACCTGGGTCGCTGAGCTGAGGCATGCAGAAGCCAAGGCTCTGTGCTGGCTATGGACCCACCACCCCACCTCGGGGGTCTCACCCTCTCTTCCCCTCCAAACACGCGCTTGGAGGCGAGTCCGTGCCGAGCTGTTCTCTGAGGCACAAACACAGCAAGCACATTTGCTGCTGCCTGCCTACTCCAGAGGATTTCCTGGTGCTTTGAGGAGACTGAAAGCAAGCTGAAATGTTCTAGCACTTTAAAGGAGGACTAGGCATTGGTGGGAGGCTTGTTTAGTATCTGAGTGGGATCACGACTACGATGTTCATCTGCACGTTACCAGCATGGAATATATGCAGTTGGGAGCGGTTTGAAGACGAGTAGGCTCAGAAAGAAAGGAAAACTCTTCCAGGGAAGGAGGAGGCAGAGTGAAAGACTGCTAACGCTTGCAGCATGAAGATCGGGGAAAAGATGGAGATATCAGAGCGGGATAATCTCCAGGAGGAGGTGATCAGGCACAGAAAATCAACACTTGATGGGAGGCTACCCTAAATATGTACTGGGAGGATGGTATTTACCCCCTGGGCAGTAGCAGGGCAGGTGCCAAATCCGTCTGTTGAAGAAGCAGGAGGTTACCAGCCAAACTAGCACACAATGACCCCGGGGGACCTTTCTTTCAAACACACCATTAGATTGCTGGCATGGAGAGAAGCTGGCAGCCCCATTTCACACCAGCGATGATGTAATATAGCTCTTATTTCAGACGCATCTCCATAAAGTTGACAGCTACTGTTATCGTCTGATTCTGCTCGCATTGCTAAGGCTGGTGTTTGAGGCGGGTTTTCAGTGATCTCTGAAGGAGCAGCCGGTGCCTAATGGATGTAAGGTGTCTTTTAGCGGGTGCTTAGCAGTCATCTGCCCATTTTGGTAGCCTTTCAAGTATGTGAAAAAGCCAACCGTAATAGCCCATTGTTTTCAGTGATGTCTTAAGGAGGGGAAAAAACGTTTGTGGCTCACTTAGGATTTGGGGGTGTTTGGCAGGTTTGTTCAAGGCCCTGTGACTTTCTAGCAATGCTCCTGCAGTATTCTTCACATTCTTTTGTCTAAGAGAGGGGAAAATGTATGACTGATTCCCACTTAATTAGGCCTCATCTGCTAAACAGTTATGTCACTATTTACATACGAGTAGTCTCACTGAAGTCAAGTCCTACAGCTGTATACTTCATCTGGTAACAATGTAAATCCAAGATAAACAGACTTGGAACAAGAGATGTACATTGCCTTATATGTATGAACTACCTGAATGTAGCAAATGCTGTGCCGGGTCGTTCTGGCAAAAGCTAACAGCTATCCTGTTGCAGCACCCTGTAAATGGATCATCTGATTATTAATTTTTAACGGTGGGCCAAACTGTACTCATTAGTCCCGACTTTTGCTGAAGTGTAGGACTTTGCCAAATGAGTAATTTTGAATCAATTGGGCCCCTCTATGGTAATAAGGGAAAATAATCCTCCACACCTACTCACATCAAGTGATTTTTGTCATGACTGGGTCTCCCATGGCCGAGGGATCAACCCCTTGGAGATAAAAAACACAATCGGAAACAAGACATAGGGAAAGGAAATGGCTGGAAACTCAACAGACATCTGGGTTTAATTCTGCTTGTCCCCTTTCTAACGCCTTTCTTGCAGGAATCCCTGTCAGCTGTCTTTCAGTGACCCTCCTCCATCATTTTTGTGCGTTGACTGATGTCCCATCTTCAGCTGTGGTCCATCAGAATGACTTGGGCTGTTCTCTGACCAGTGAACGGCAAGACAAAGGAAGGACTGTGATTGTTTTATACTACCTCCTTCTCTTCTGCCAGATAATTCCCATGCTCTCTAGCATCCTGTATGACCCTACCAATGACCTTTTGTTCTTCCATACACTTTGGTACCATTCTCTTGGTTACCGTGCCCATTTTTTCATGAATTACTTCAGACTGATGCGATTGAAGCAATGTAAAGCAAACCACCCCCTCAGCAAACACGTGCTTAATTTGGTCTAACGAGTATAAGACGGGTTATCAGCTGTCACCTATCCCCCGTGAAGTGGGTGGAGTCGTGTTGTGTTATCTTAAGCACAATACTTGACCAGGAGCTCTTCTGTTTAGCTCTCTAAAGGAGTACCTTTGCGTGTGGTTCTGTTAGCATGACCCTGCCTCAGTGTTACTGGCAAAACCCACCGATTTGCTCTGGAATATGTGGCTGGACAGGACTAAAATGATAACATGTCCAGTTTCTGCTGTGGATCTCCTGGGAAGCTTTCATGGAAGTGTTTTTTTGTAAGTTTAACATTACTATGTCAATATAATAGGGTGTCCCAGCAAAGGTTTCTTCTGAACATCACAAATGACTGAGACGCTCATCAGAAAATTAAAATATCTCTAAGTTAATGAGATAAGAAGTAGGGAGGAACAGTGCTGTAGATAAAATACTTTCTCACAAGTGATATATCTGGAATTACTTTCTCAATGAAAGACTTTGTTTCTTGAGCTATGAAATAAGTATGTAGAAATATTTTTTTCAACTGATAGTGCATCTTTATAAAGTTCTCTCTATCCAAAACCACTGAGGACTCTATGGAGTCAGAAACTTTTTAAGACTTAGATATGTAACTGTGTAGTCAAAATATGAGTTGTGTGACTTACTACCCAAAGTAGATATTACCATCATTATTTTACTCCCCTGATGGACAGTCAGGAGCTATTTGCTTAGAGGACTGGGAGCAAGCAGAACTTGCTGCAAGCCCACTTGTTGAAACATTTTGATTTTTTTTTTCTTGAATGTAGCTTAAAAAACGATATTCCCAACTAGCATTAGCACTAACTCTGAGTACTTCCAACTGCGGGAAGAAAACTTCAGCTTCCTAATTGAAGATCAATGCTTAAGGATGGGGCTCAGGTGACAACTGATAGGGTGATCTATTGGGTGCAGCCTTACATCAGCCGCAGCCTTTCCGAACAGCTCTGCCTGTTGCATGTCATACAGCAAGTATGTAATGCCGGTGAAGGGGTCCATCAGCTCTCTTCAGGGAAGCTTTGCTGGAGACCACTTGACTTTTCTTCTAACACCTTGCCCCCAGGACAGCCGAGGCAGAAAAGTACCAGCTGTACCAGTCTTAGGGCAGCATCTGCTGGTTATTGCATGGATCAACATAAGTGGTTGTCATGGAAGAGGCTGCTTGCTTTGGCTCCCAGGCAGAGGTACCTGGGACTCGGGGAGGGAGCTGGGGAAACAGGGGCGCTCTGGAGAGGAGTGACCCGTAAATGCAATTACACCAGTGAATCAGTAGAGAAGGGGAGCAGGCGAGGAGCTTCTGGGTCTTGGTCTTGCTTTCTCCTGGTATCAGAGGCAGCACCCGCAAAGTTTAGAGAGTCCGGGTTCGGTTGGTTGCAGTTCACCTCCAAAGGCGAAGAAACCTGCCCCACCATCGCCTCCTTCCCAGCCCCCCCCTCCCCACACTGTTGGCACTGGTGGTGCCGGAGCCGGGAGAGGGGCGGCTACTGAGAAATAAATTCGAGATACGGAGACAAAATGGGGGATGAGGACTTTGTGAGACTTGGCAGAAATAACACCGAGGCTCCACCACCTCTCTTGGGGAAAGAGAGCGCGGTTGCGCCCAGACGGGTGGGTTTTTTTTACACCCCGCGAAACAGCCCAAACAATAGAAATAAGGGCCGGGAGGGAGGTGGGGAGGAGGCG